TTTACATTGCCTGGTTTCTCTGCTTTACAACGACGCTTGCAGCAGCAACCTTCACGTTATTTTACAGTTTAATGTGGGGTAAAGAAGTTGCGGAACAGTGGTTGTCCTCGATCTTGATATCAAATGGACAAGACATTTTTGTTGTTCAACCAACAAAAGTAATGCTAGCTGTTGTTTTGATTTCATTGCTGATGACCAAAACTCAAAAGAATAATAGCCAAGATTCAAATGATGATAGAGACAGTGTCTCCTGTGAAATCGATTTGCTAAGTGATAACCCTAAAGAGCGTTTTAAGCGATCGAGATTGGAAGCCATTCGTGAGCGAACTAAAAAGGAGGTGAAGCTGGCAGGAATGACGAAGGAGATTGTCGTCCATTTAATTTTTGTCTTCTTCTTGGTGGTAGTATGCTATGGAAACAAGACACAGTATCGTATTATGATGACAACGACACTGCTTGATCCATTTGCTAAATTTGACCTGGTAAGGAAGTATTTTTATATATAATAACCTGCCAACATCCCTGACTGGGCCTCCATGATTATCAGCACAAAATGCCTTAAATGTGGCACTAAATTTGAGACTACAATCGGTGAAGAAATTAGTTGAAACACCTCGCCCTAAAGGGCCTTTCTAACGTTTTGCTAACTTAAAAAATCGAAAGTAAAGCTTACCCTCCCTCGTATCCTCCATCCAATATTTTGCCGCTGTTCAAGCTACCTGTAGAAAACAACAAAAAACCCCAACTTTGTATGGAGGGGCGGAGGAGGAGGTGTGGATTGTTTTGTTCTGCGAAGTTGCCCCAGTTGAGGACAATGTCTCAACGACTTTGTCGCCAATTGCAAATATATCAAATTTATCGATAAGTATGCAGCTGAGAAACTTGCTCAAAAGACTGATGGATTTAAGCGTACACGCTTCAAACGCTTTAACGATGAGCTTTGTACAGTTTCATTAACAAAGAGTAAGAATGAACCCTTAATTTTTTATATTTCTTACCCGCCAATGTGTCGTTATCCATCATGACTATCGTTCGCGGATTTTTTTTTTCAGGTAACAGGCAGTCAAAAACTGGATGGTTGGCTAAGGCAAGAGTTTCTCCCAAATATTTATCACCGATCATGGTACAATGGACTTCAGGATGAAGACATATACATTGGGAACAAGATATCCATACTGATTGGCATGCCGTGGATGAGACAATTGAGGATTAAAAGAGGCAAGTGAGTTGCAGTAAGCTATTACCATGTATCCTGAACGAAACAATCGACAACAAAATCAAATTCACTTAAACTAGTAGTTCAGTTTATACTAAGGAATACACTTGCCCACATGAAGCGGGTGAAAAGCCGATACGCCAACCAAACTCAAACAATGACCGTGTTCTTTTTGTACCAATGAATATCTATTGTTGGCATTACAGCTGTTATGGTGATGTACGCGGAGTTGTCCAGTTACCGTCGCTCATGTAGTACCTTCCGGAAGGATCTCCATATATAAGATTTTCTCAATTCTATCGAAAGGTGGTTCACTGGCACCATCAACACCCAGCAAATTTAATGCTATTCAGTTTGCGACTGCTTAAAAGGAGTCGTTTATAATATCGAAGAATTCTCTTTTTTTTCCTTATATATTTTCAATTCTTCATTCATCAAAGATGTTCCTTTTAACAATAAAATGTCAGAATCAAAAAGCTCATTGCAACTGTTATGTTTTTTTCTCAGATTCTTGTAAGTCCCTTCCTGAACTTATCCAAGACTGCTATCACGACTACTCCAGCAAACACGAAGAAACCACGCCCCTGCGTCTTCCAGGCTGGAAACCACTTCCTCACAATACGTCGTGGCCCGAGGCTCTAAACCTGTGCCCAAAACCTTGGCGTTACCAAACAAGTGAAGAACTAGATAATAATCCCATTAAAGCTACCTACAACACTTATGAAGGAGGTGGTTATGTTGCCGTCTTGGGATATGACGAAGCAACTGCCCGAGGTGTCCTGGGGGAAACTTTTGGTCATGGATGGGTTGACCGCCAAACACGAGCAGTGATCCTGGAGTTCGCGGTGTTCAACGTGAACACGAACCTCCTCAGCATCGCCACGTATTTTTACGAGGTTATCGCCACCGGTGCCGCCTACACTACTAGAAGGGTTGACACAGTCGAGTTGTACACAACAGAGTCTGGCGCTCTACTGTTCTACCTAATTTGCCAATTTCTTTTCATGGCCATGGCACTTTATTACTTTATCTTAATGTTAGTCCATCTTTACCGACAACGACTTGGATTTTTCAAATCAGTTTGGAATATGGTTGATTTCTTAATGGTCATTTTCTCTGTAGCGTCAGTGGCGTTTTATATGATTCGATCCAAGACTGTTTTAAAGAGCATCAAAGCCATTCGGAATAATCCCTATGAAATTGTGCATTTTCATGCTGCTCTTGATTGGGCCAACTGGGAAAACATTGCAACTGCTTTTGCTATTTTTATGGTTACAGTTAAGATGCTGAACCTGATCCGTTTTAACCCCTATGTCATATACTTATTTTCATCTTTCCGCCAGTCTGTTGGCTACCAGTTGTCCTACGTGGGTTTCTTCGTGATCATCTTTAACGCTTTCGTAATATCGGGAATGAGGTTTTTTGGCCGTACAGTGGAAGAGTATTCCAGCTACATCAATTCCGTAATGTCTCAGTTTGAGTTTCTTCTGGGAAAGGCTGTCCCACTGAGTGGCCTTCGAAGTGAGAATCCATTTTTAGGGCCTTCGTTCGCTTTCATGTACATGTTAATGATGACTGTATTCCTTATGAATATGCTAGTGTCTGTTCTTAACGAGTCCTACTCTGACGCAAAAGCAAACGCAGAAGAGAGTGCGGAGGAACTTGAGATGGCACGCTTTATTGGGGAGAGATTTATGGAGGTTTTTAAGGGTAACAAAAAGCGGCCCGAATTCAAATTATACTGTGATGAGGCCACATTTGTCAATATGTGTCAATCGGAAGCGGAACCCTTTTGTTTGAATTCTGAAAGTATCATTAAGTGTACGGAAGAGAGGCTGGAAAAGGTTGAGAAAAGACTCTTTGTTCTATCTCGACGTGCAGAAAAGATGAATACTTCTTATGAGCAAGAGGAAACTGACTTCCTCGACCTCCTCCAAACAATGGCGAATCTTAGGACGGGTGAAACCAGTCACACATAATTTTAAAAGAAAAAGAAACACTGGACTTTTAATTTTACAAAAATCTCTCATTATACCTGCTAACGTAAAGGGGCCATGTCACGAGGGTGTTGCCGTTTTAGGTCAATTAAGGTGCTCAGGTCATTACTCAGTGCCTTTACAATACACAAAATGCTCTCTTAGAGATATGAAAGATATCAAACAAATTTTACCATGGAGCACTAACTATAATATTTTTTTTATTTTTGTGACCATGGCATTATTAAAACTTGCAAAGGTTGGCAAAATTTTTCAAGTTTCAATACATGTCCTTCCTTCCCATCCGTGAAAACAGACAACAGGAAAAAGATTCAGTGCCTGAAAATATAGTCTTGAATAACAAAACTATACAATCATTTTCGGAATGCAATTGATGCAAAGGCACGTTTTAGCCTTTTAAAGATAGCAAATACCGTCACAAAGCCCTATTAATCACCATATCCCAACTTTATTTAGTTATCGCCCGCGCTACATCATGTAGTTAATACCCTGTCCGTTATCATGTTCATTGACTGCCTCTGTCACAGGCAGACAAACCTGTTTGTAGTTGGACTTGAAGAGCAGCAACTTCTTCTCTATCAATAAAAGAAAAGATTGCTGTTCTTTAGGCCTATGCACTGCTGAACCCATAAGAGAGTGGAGAATTATCGTTCTAGTCCTATCGGATAGAAAGACTGGTAAGAAACAGAAATAGAGAGGTTAAGGAGCACGGCCCTGAATTTAAATTTGCAAAGTGCAACCACTGAAATCTGCAGAGCTCTGTTACTACGCCAATCAGCTGTTTTCCGTAGAAAAAAAAAAGCCTAACGTTTTCGAAAGCATACGTCTCTCTCGGAAAATTTTTTCAACCATTGAGGGTATTCCAGCACCCAGGAAAAGTAAAAGACTGTTGCATTATTTAACTCTTATAATGGTTACAATTTGTGTAGCCTCTGTCCGATGCCCAAACTCCTAGCTCGTGCTGAAAAATAATCAGCGTTTTCGCTGCTCCAAGGAACACCCTAGCAAATAGCCAGGTTACCGTCTATACTCTTGGAATTTTTGTACTCTGTTAGTACTTTAAGTCATGAACTTAACTTTAGTCTTGTGTTCTCGGGAAGAGTAGCGACCGTTATAAACGCAACAATTTGTCTAGTCCCTGTACGACGTCTTCTCGGGCCTTCTCGGTCGATGCATTTCGGTGACGTATCCGAGACAGCTGGGAGAAAAAAACTTGCTTGGGCCACGTGACCCGAAACGCAGAGGCCGAGGGACTATGGCAAAGTAATAACGACGACGATGTCAGCCAGAAAGGCACGTAAGTGTGGAATACGAGTAGGAATTAATGGCCGCCTTTCCATGACGAAAATTCCGGTTAGAAATTTCCGAAAATTCCACGAGCCCAATGGAGCGGTACATACCGGTTGCACAGAACCCCACCCAGGCCACCGCACGTTTGGCAATTGTACTTGTAGACGGGATATAAAAGAGCGGTATTGGGGACAAAAATTTTATCAAAAGGAAAGGAACATTTCCGTCGGACCGACCCAAAAAGACCGGACGGACAAAATATTCCGGACGGACCCAATCGAAATGGTCTGTTCCATTTGATTTCTAACCAAAATTTCTTGAAATTTTAGATAGGCTGAGTTAAAAAGTAACGTTTACGTGACACGCACGCTATTTACAACTACAAAGGACAATATTGTTAATTACCAATTACTGGATTTGGGTGAGTATGGTATGAATAATTATGCAGATCGAGAAAAGGAGTTTACCCCGCCCGAGGCCGAAGCATAAATATTCATATCATAAGAAAGCCGAATCCAAGAATTGTTTTATTATTCATTTAAAATATTTCGAAATCAAGATCTTCTTAAGGTATTACCCAGTTTACGATGCTGTGGCCAGAGTTCTGTTCCCATTGTGGCCCTTGATTTACTGCGGGATCCAAGGTCCCTATTGTGGTGATGGAAAAAAAGGTGGTTCAGCAGACAACCAATAGTGAGATTTTGATAAACAGCTATTTGGAGAAAGGTTGTCAGAAAAATTGTGCATGCTACAATCCCGAAAGGTAATATGGGATATGATCAATACACTGTTCCTGACAATCTAGCTGTCGAACCTACTTTTTTTGCTTTCCTTTGCTTGCTTACTTGCTTGCTTATTTCGAGCGAACTCGAACTCCTTTAGCATTCGCAAAAATACGTCCATGGCCTCCCGTGTCATTCTTTCAAATTTCTTTGAGAAACAGTTAACTCAAAACCACCCACAATGCCTTTCGGGATTGTCGCGTGCATTTTTTCTGACAACCTTTCTCGAAATAAATGTACAGGAACAGTTCACTGTTTAGGCTCGATTTCCTTCGCTCTTTCGGTCCTAGCGCGGGCTCATTTCCCAACTAGACGATAGTAGAAATCGTTTCGCTAAAAGCTTGTACCATTTTCCATGATAGTTTCTGGAATGGGGAATTATCAATTTTGCAGCTCGTTTGGGAGTTTTTTTCTTATACCGCAATGGTATTTTGGAGGTAAAGATAACCTCTGGTTTTAGTTGAAGTTTTTTTTTTCAACTTGAATTAAAAATTTGAAAGTTGAATAATCATCTCGGTATTGAAAATAAAATAGAAGGGTAATGCGCAATTCAAATAACTTCTTGTTCCTCCTCGAAGACGACTTTAATTTGCCCGCCATTTTGAAAAGTCACGGAAGCGAGACATATTGGCACGAGGGCTGAACCACCGTAACTACGTTCTGGTAGTCTCCAGCCTGTTCCATGCTCAGAGGCAGCTCCGAGAGGATTAAGAAAGAGCGAAAATGAAAAAAAAAATCGGGAGTATACTGCCAACTTTTCGCATACCTTTCACTTTCGTGTCTTCTCCACTAAGTCTGAGAACCTGGAACAGTCTGCGGAAACGCCCATTGGTCGTAACAGTAAGGAACGGTAGTCACAGCAAAACATGGAAACGAAACATGTGCAATATCGTTTTTGCAACAGAAGTAATACAAATTTGGTAGCGTAAAGGTATATTAAAAGGGAAAAGTCAAGTTTACGAGAAATTATATTCAATAATTACACTATGAGGTCGATTTTTGTATGAGTCAATGGCAAGCTTAAGTAAAAGCGTTTTTTGAAAGCCTCCTCGACAATTTAAATCCACCGATGACTGTTTGTTCCGGGCGCGCGTTCGCCCTTGCCGGTTTACACCACCCATTTTAGATGCGCACATGTTACATGGGCGTTAGTTGATATTTATGGATAGATTTTGAATCACCTTTATGTCAAACGGCAATCGTCAATTTCTACCGTTGCTTATGGTTTCTTTCGTTGTTATGCATTGTGTTCACATCGACAGGTCGACTTCGAGCTATTGACTGAGGACCTTTCAAACGCTCCCTGCATGTGGGTGAGATATTCACTGAAATCGACGATAGTATACAACTATCCCCCGAAGAGGAGGTGAATAGTGGTGGGTATACCTAGACGCGAATATATTTAGCGCTGTTCACCAACAAGCCAAAGTTCGTCGCTCTCTTGTATTTGTTTGTTGTTTGTACGAATGCTTTATTTATAGCTCAAATTTCGTCTTTCCCCCGGAAAGTCTCGAAACGAGATGCCATTTTGGCTCCGGTTGCAAAACAGTGAATAGCCAAGGATATTCCGAGTTAAGGGAGCCAATCAAAACGCGCGAAAATTGTTATTCACCGATTTGGCAAAAACTAAAATCAATTACTGGAACGGATTGATGAATTACACAGTCGATTAACATACACCAACTAGGAGAAAAAGAGTCAGCCTGCATAGCATGGCGGTTTTGTCGGGAGCACCACTGAGAGGCGAAGCCGCAAAAAACGCGCGCAAAATGCGCGAACTAGCGATAAAGCCGCGAGAAAAATAAAAACCACATTGCTCCCGCCCCAATCTCCTCGCGGTTTCTCTGCCCTCTCCTGCCTATATTATTTAACGCGCCCAACCAAAACCGCCATGCTACGCAGGCTAAAAACGAGTGCGAGAATGCGATGTCCCGTACATGACCATAGATTGGAAAAAAGCAATAAAAAATAAGAGAAAGTTTGCGAAATTATATCAAGAAACAAAACTGATGAAAACTTCGAACTTAAGAAGAAGTACAGAAATTTGGCCTCGAAAGAGCGCAGGAAAGCAATTAAACATTATATGGAAAACGAAATCGGAAAAGATGAAGGAAAAAACCCAACAGATTTTTTCACAATTTTAAGCCATTCATTAGCAACAAAACTACTGCGAATAATCCTATCAGTCCGAATACAGATGGAAATGTAATGGAGAATGATGTGGTCATCGTTGCTAATTGTTTTGCAGATTACTTTGCTAACGTGGCGGAGGGCAACATGTACATGATTTACGTGAGGAGGATTACCAACATCACGCAAGCATCAAGTCTTTAAACTAGAAAATATCATGATGTAGCCTTGGATTTCAATTTCCAAGCAATTCCTGAAAAAGATGTGTCAGATGTTCTTGAAAACATTATTCCTAGGAAATCGCTTGGTTGGGACTCTCCTATTGTCCCCATCCTCCTTAAGAAAACTGCTTCCGCTATTGCTCCATCTTTGGGGGCAACATAGAAACACTGTATTGACGAGGACTCCTGGCCTACGAAGTGGAAAATGGGGGAGTGGACACCCGTATTCAAGAGGGGAGACGTGCTTTTGATCATATTTGCATGGAAAAGGCGCGTTATAAATTTTTAATTATTATTATTATTAGCAAACAAGATAGAGAAAATTATCGCCCGATCAAAGTACTTCCAGTACTTGGCAAAGTGTTCTACAATCCTCGTCACAAATCTTGAAACACTTGTGTGATTTTCGGCTCCCCAATGTTGATTTGGGTTTGCAGTCATTTCAGTGCTCTAAATACGCTCGGCTCAACATTGGGAAAGGAGATAGGGCACATTTGAGTGAGAACAAAGGTGTGAAGAGTGAATGTAAGAAATTTGGAAAAAGTCAAAGACAAATGGCTCCTGTTTCAACGATTGGTGACGAGTATTGTAGCATCTACTTCACTGAAAATTAAAAAGATCTCAGTTCAACCCCGAAGTGCCAATTCAGCCCTGCAGACCAAATTAAGGCTGATTTTGCCTCTTCTGGAGCCATTTGAGCACAATTTAGACCAAAAGAGCTCCATCAAAAGGCTACTCCAGCCCACCAACGCATCCGTCGTGCTGTATCCAAACAATTCAAACGATTCTTTGTCTGGGAGAATGACCACTCACGCAATGCCAGTACACTTGCAAGCCAACTATTCGTCAGCTTAGTCGTTCTGACGGATAAATGTACGTGATCGTGCAATAGGAGATCCGATATGAAAAATGTTTTCCTATGTTTTACGCTGAATAAGCAAAGTATTATAGTAAATGTATTATCAAGTAACCTCCTCCCTGGGAGCGTGAAAAATGCAACGTTTCTTCCTGAACTTCCTTCTTGATGGACGAAACATCCATACAGTTCTTTGTACTGAGAGGTCTGAACACGTATTTCGTCACAGAAATCCTTAGGAAAAATCCATGTCTGGTTCGATGGCAATATCAACGTTCATAGATATCTTGCGTTTTTTGAGCTACATGACCTCGGAGCGGGGAGGGAGAGCGGGAGGCGGAGGGAGGGGTACGGATGTGATAAAGCCGTAAGCTACAATTTTGGAAAAAATGAATGGAAAACCTACACCCCCCTCCCCCCACAATCAAAGATGGGAAAATGGCGCGTTTTTGCCCTTGGCGCGACTTCATCCTTGATTTGGCGGGGGGGAGGGGCTGGGGTTTTCTGTTCAATTTTTTTCTGTCCAAGATTGTAAGTAATCTCAGCGTGTTTGAACCTTTCTTGACCCCTAAAATATGTTATCCTAAATATGGGCAATAGTTACAAACAAGAGCCATAAGCGGCCAGTTGCGACAGTACATAAATAAATAAAACGTGCTTTAGGAGACTAAGAGAGATAGTAGTGGCGGTGGTTCAGGAAGACTGAAGGCTTATAAACCGATCCCTTGATTAGACCTGATTACAGTCGAAGAATTGGCTGCGGAATCATTCGGGTTACAAGGTCAGGGGCGGATGACACATCGAAAGGGAGATTCCCCGGCATAATGCTCCAAGCCAGTCAGCCTTCCCACGCATTAATGGCTTTTGACTATTTTTGGAAAAGACAAACAAGCTGTATTTTCATAAATTTTGAGTGTCTCTTCACTCGTTCATTTCGTGTATTACTAAGGTCATTTGTTAGTATTCCTTTGCCACCCTATAACCACGTAAGAAATGCTGAGTATGATACAATTGATGCAATAATTTCCTGCTCAGTATATATAATCGCCAACCTCGTCCCCTGGGCTTTTCTCTAAAAAAAATAGGTGGGGCGGGAAAAGGCCCCACATATTTTTTGAGGGAACAGCCCAGGGGACGAGGTTGTATAATCGCGTGACATGCCGATGATTTCTTCAAGGAAAGAGAGGAAGAAACATAGTCGTTGTGTTTATGCTTATAGGCATTGACCCGAATGAATGCAATAAGTAAAAGCAGAGAGAAGCCTTCTTCAATTCAACAAACTGTATAACTGCCCAAAGAAATAGAGACGAATACGACGGTGAGTGATAACTACAATTGGGTAGAGCAGGCTTATTGGAGACTTTGCAATGAATTGCACAGTAGGTGAGTTTCGATTTGGTTTGTTTTAATTTGGTACACCCTTTTCAAGCGTACTTTGTTGATTTAAGATACACGGTTTTGACGTTCATAACTGTGATCCTAGTCAATGACTGGACAGTATACTCAGCGATTCAAAAAGTAAAATGCTATCACTCACTGAGAAAGACTCTCAACATGGAAACAATCAGCTCGGTTACCGTTTTATACTAGAATTTGTCGTTTTTCTTTTTTCACATGCATTACGTATAAAAGGTGTAAGGGGTTTACGGGCAACTCCGGCGCTCGCTGAGCGTAGAGGTACCAGGTACCTTAGTTTACATCTTGGTGTTCTTTGATCTATACAGCAGCTCGTATGTCTTGCTTACAGCATCACTTAACGAATTCACTGCTCGACAACTAACTGTAACTAATCTCAACTACTAACTACCTTGTGCTAAGTACTGGCCACTTATATGAGCAACACGTAGGTACGTTCAGGCTTGCTGGCCATGAGATTTATAAACGCTTTTCCGAATGACTTAAACAAATTTCCTGTTGATAACCAAAGTGGAATAAACAAACCCATAAAAAAACCAATGAAAGCGTGACAGCTAAACNGTCTCTTCACTCGTTCATTTCGTGTATTACTAAGGTCATTTGTTAGTATTCCTTTGCCACCCTATAACCACGTAAGAAATGCTGAGTATGATACAATTGATGCAATAATTTCCTGCTCAGTATATATAATCGCCAACCTCGTCCCCTGGGCTTTTCTCTAAAAAAAATAGGTGGGGCGGGAAAAGGCCCCACATATTTTTTGAGGGAACAGCCCAGGGGACGAGGTTGTATAATCGCGTGACATGCCGATGATTTCTTCAAGGAAAGAGAGGAAGAAACATAGTCGTTGTGTTTATGCTTATAGGCATTGACCCGAATGAATGCAATAAGTAAAAGCAGAGAGAAGCCTTCTTCAATTCAACAAACTGTATAACTGCCCAAAGAAATAGAGACGAATACGACGGTGAGTGATAACTACAATTGGGTAGAGCAGGCTTATTGGAGACTTTGCAATGAATTGCACAGTAGGTGAGTTTCGATTTGGTTTGTTTTAATTTGGTACACCCTTTTCAAGCGTACTTTGTTGATTTAAGATACACGGTTTTGACGTTCATAACTGTGATCCTAGTCAATGACTGGACAGTATACTCAGCGATTCAAAAAGTAAAATGCTATCACTCACTGAGAAAGACTCTCAACATGGAAACAATCAGCTCGGTTACCGTTTTATACTAGAATTTGTCGTTTTTCTTTTTTCACATGCATTACGTATAAAAGGTGTAAGGGGTTTACGGGCAACTCCGGCGCTCGCTGAGCGTAGAGGTACCAGGTACCTTAGTTTACATCTTGGTGTTCTTTGATCTATACAGCAGCTCGTATGTCTTGCTTACAGCATCACTTAACGAATTCACTGCTCGACAACTAACTGTAACTAATCTCAACTACTAACTACCTTGTGCTAAGTACTGGCCACTTATATGAGCAACACGTAGGTACGTTCAGGCTTGCTGGCCATGAGATTTATAAACGCTTTTCCGAATGACTTAAACAAATTTCCTGTTGATAACCAAAGTGGAATAAACAAACCCATAAAAAAACCAATGAAAGCGTGACAGCTAAACCCACGAGGCTCTAGCTTATACCAAAACAGGAACTCTGATGTAGGTGACAATCAAGGTCAGCGATGGTTCCAAAACGTGCCCACTTCAAGGACTGACACTCAAATTCAATAAATGACATTCATGTTCAAAACCTACTTTAAAAGGTAATAGAATTTGAAAACCTGTCGACACAAATACGGATTAACCTTGATCTATAAACTGATCATAACAAGACCCTAGTCACGAGTGAAACGTCAAGCACAAACACGAAATAAACTAAAAATAACCTACAAAATAATTCACAACAAAGGTCAGCTGAGTACTGATACAAGATCCTCATCGTTTTCTTCTCGTTTTAGAGGAAGTGTCCTTTCCGGAAGCGGTAATTGTTTTCTCGCTGTG